AAGCTGTTATCAACAGAACCATCTGCAAATCAGTTGGTAATCAAAATAGTCGTTAGTTGCAGCAATATTTAGATTCAAGTCACTGGAACAAGGCATCAACATCAGCATTTTGAAGTCTTTTAAAAAGTCTGCTTTCCTTTGCCAACATTAATGTCAAAAATCATGTATGTGGCAAAACAAGCAGTGCTATTACCCTTGCTAGTTGGTGATATGGAATTTTACAGTGGCATCTTTTCATGTGACACTATATTTGTTTTCACTGCAGCCTTAGGTTTTTGTGTTTTCTGTTACGTCGCAGTGAACACAATACAGGGAAAACATCACAACTTCCTTGACCTCTCTGCACACTGAATGCCTTGCCACTCAACAGGCTGGCAACGGGCCCGACACTGCACCCTCTCCCTCTGGGGCCTAACACAAGGGGTGGAAAATGGAGGACGCCTTGGTCTGTGTGTTTGTGTGTGTGTTCATGTGCGTACGTGCGTGTGTGTGTGTGTGTTTTCGGGCCTCAAACAGGGAAGACAAGGCCTGCTATTGTTTAATTTGTATCCTGGAGAGGAAATGCCTCCACTCGTTTGGCTGCATTGCACTGCTACCATCTGTCTTACAAATGAAGGTGTAAAGTGGTGACATATTTTGTTGCATCAAGGAAATAACTGGGGAAGTTTACAGAGAGATTGGCAGTACGTAACTGGTATGTAAGGAATGCCGTGGATAGTTTTGCGCAAACAGCTTTGAAGTATCCCCAAGGTTTTATTAAGAACAGCATCTTGGTATGTTTTTCCTCCTGTGGGGGCCACCTGTGTTCCTGGAAGGATTAGTTTGGAAAAAGGAAGGGGGAGGGATTAGATGGTGTTACTGGTGTAGCCTGGGAGTTTGAGCTGCCAGCAGTTTTTAAAAAATGAACGAGCTTTGTCTTTATTCAACACACACAATGAGCCGAATTTTGGCTGGATGCAGCCTTCATCAGCATGTCCTAGTTTCTGCTACCCACCATTCTTTTCCTTCCTGCCTCTGTTCTATGAGAGATTGTTGATCCCGCTCTCAGCCAAAGATGTGAATTAGCACCAAGCAAGCATCACTTAAGTGGTGTTAAATGCACGGATCAAACACCCTCTGCTTTTGATCTTGGTACTAAGAGGCAAAAGCATAAAATTCAGCTTTCAGAGCCACTGCAGTTCACGCAAGGCCTTTTGTTTTTGAATGAATTGGAAAATAAAGCAAATGGATCGCATTAAAAAGCACTGAAGGTTGCTTTGGGTTGGATGCTCCTGTCTCTGCCCTGAAACTTTCATGTTTCCTTTTCCCGTGCACTTTGTGGTGATTGTGTTTGTGCTCAGTGTAAGCGGAGACCAGTAAGAGAAAAAGAAAGAAAATCAGACCGGAAAATGTAAGGCCCAGGGAGTGGAAAAGATGGGGTCCTTTACATTCTTTCCATACAGTCAATCTGAAATATTTGAGACTGAAGCCACAATTGATGGTTCTGCATATTTCTCCGTGTGAGGCTGCGTTTCAGTGGCGCTGTTTTATTCACTGTGATGTCACTGTGGAAAAGGGGGAAAGAGCTCACAGCACCGCCATCTAGTGGCATGTTTTAGATTATTGTACCTTTGGTGCCTAAGCAGTTAAAAATAATTCCTTTCTTTTACATTAAGCTGTAACAAATGACTTTTGTGTTATACAGTGGTAAGAAAAAGCTCATTCATTTTTGTTGTATTTCATTTGTTTTGTTTTACTTTTATGCACAAGTTTTGAATAAGAAATCTTCCTTTTATCATTTTCTTCTAATAATTCATGCCCAGTGTTAGATGAGAAATTAATATCGTTCTTTTGTTTTCATTTCATTGTTTTTTCCCCACATATTGTTGCATGTAGTGCAAAACGTGACAGAGAGAAGCGGGGAGGAATTGCAACCGGGTTCCTGGCAGAGATCCTTTGTGGTGATGTTGCAGTTATGTGGTTTGTGCTTTTGACCACTGGGCCACCATACCACCTCAGAGTCAGTGGTTAGCCTAGATTATTTTCAACGTCTGTCATAAATGTAAAGACATAATGTCTGGCAAGGTCTTTACAACATTGTGTTACAGGACACAAATACATAATTGCACGTTAAATGCTTTCATTAGTAGTTTTACAGTGTTCACCAGTGAACCCTGGTGTTGGCAAAAGCCTACTTAAAATGGAGTGTGCCACGGATTTGCAAAGGTTTTCGCATCCACAGAGCTTTGTTAACCCAGATCAATGCACCACATAAAACTATTTTACCTTCTTACTATTAAAAACTTAATTTTCAGATGGTCACCCATTATACTCAGGTAATTGCACGCTGACCTAAAATTTGCAGTTGTAGCAGAAACTCATCAATTGAGTTCACATTCTGGGTTCTTGTCTGAAATGAACCCAGTTAATCAAGGCTGTAGTTCCGTGGTGAGGCACTAGGTGGCAGTAAGTGTCTAAACATCACCCCTGTTGAACCACTGCTCCTGTTCATTGTGTTTCTGACCACAGACACTTTGAACATAAGGATTTGGTTAGTGAGGATATGAATGTGTGATGTAACAGGGCCAGGCAGTACTCTGGAGGATGCAAGTTTCTTTCTGTGTCTATTTGATCAAAGCCAAACCCAAATAAAAAAGAGTTCAGGCTGATTTTAAGGGACCAACACCCAGTTGTGTAGTTCCATATCACAGTCCTGAATATTAATTTACAGCCTGCAGAAATAGTGTATTCACAGGGTTGGTTGTAACTCGTCCTAATCACAGAGTTTACTGCACTTTTTCTGACTGAAGAGTGTGCACTTATTTGCCTTTTGTTTTAATAAAAATGTCTGAATTTAACCTTTGAGCTTGAACAGTAAGTAAACAGACAGGACCTTTTGGGTTGGGCTTGTTTTTCCTTGTTTCTGTTTGTTTTGTTATTCCATGATCACATGTAGTAGACAGAATGTGTTTCTGGCTCAGAACGGGCCTTTGATTGGTTCTGTGCACAGCAGTGAGTATGATCTGTCCACATACAGTCAGTTACAGTTATTTGTCAGAATTCAGAGTAGTTTCCTGTGATTTCTGACCATTTGATGAACAAAAATGTTGACTATGCTTGACTAAATGGAACCCCAGTTTAGAATACTGGTAAAAAAAAATGGAACTACTTATTTAAAATTCTTAATTCTTATCATTTTGACGCTGGTGATTTTCCTTTGGCCCGGCCAAAACCTCTTTGGTAGGGCGCCAAAAATTCCACAATGCAGAAAGGACCCTGGTAGATTTCATTTGTATCAAAATATCACTAACTATAACCACTTTTGTCAGACTTGACCTTACAGGGCTCTTCAGCTTGACATTAAACCGCCATTTTTTTGTATTGTGGTTAGTATTTTATGAAAAGTTATGTCTTTCTACGAAAATGAAAAAAAAAAAAAAGTATTGCTTTCTGTTATTTTTATTCAGTATTTCCTGTTTCCTCAATGAACCATACAAAAGCCTGTAACCAGGGGTCTTCTGACACCTCCTCCTCCAGCGACACTGACTTTTTGTGACAGTAAACCAGCACAAACTGTGTTATTCAGCTTTTGTGGTCAACATTTCATAAAATTTTCAATAAGCTTATGATTGTTGCTCTCAGAAACATAACCCAGAGACAGGGTGTCCATTCTGTGCGGTTTCATATGTGTGTTTGTGTGTCTGGCGAGGTCTTAACACAAGCTCTCTGTTGTCCCCTCGCTCTGCTGTCGCCACATCTACCTCCAGTTGCCGCCGACAAAGGCTTCCCAGTGGCTTCGGCCAGCGCTGCACCACAAAAAGACACACAAACACACAGTCAGTGCCTCAGTGTGCACCGATAGACAGTGGAGTAGCTGTGCAGGCTGCCAGCTCTCAGAGAGGGCCACTTTGTTTCACCTCTGACTTGGATTCAGCCCAAACAATCTGAGAGTCACTCACTGGGTCACTTGATGAAGTAATTGAATGGGGAGTTTATAGTTGTGCAGCGCAGCTCTTTTATTCTGTCTCTGCGAGGTGCTTTATTACATTTTATTCCAATGTTAAGGCACACAAATCAATGTCCGTGTCCCTGTAAAATGTTTTCTGTTGTGTGAATAGCCAGTTTGTGTGCTGCAGCGTGAATAACCATCATTTTATCTGTTGATGTAAATTATCATAACTTGGCTGTGTTTCAGTTGGCTTTTGTTGAAACACTGCGTTTATTTGCATAAAGGAGTAATGCTGTCATGATCAGCTGATGAAGCAGTTGATGAGCTGGCTGTTTTTTAATTCAGTGATTCTGATTTTAGACTTTTCAAGTTTTCAAGTTATTTTTCAAGGAAGAAGGTCCCAGGGTTTCAAAATTAAATATTTACTGCTTTCCTGTGTTTTATACCATAAACCTATGACTTTATTTTAGACTTCTGACTGCCTATAACAGATAATTCAAAGATGTAATTCCTTGTTTTTGGTAAACCATTACCATAATTTTCTGATATTTAAAAGACCAACTGGTGAAATAGTTGTTAGTTGCGGCCCTGACATGGCTTAATGACCATTTTGTGCCACCACCTTGAAAACAGAGCTGCAGCTACCAATTATTTTCATTATTTAACAAACCCGAATGATTTTTTTTCTCCATTAACCATTGAGTCTATAAAATCTCATAAAACAGTTTTTATCTATTTCTAGACTCTAAGGTATTGTCTTGTGTTATCTGAGCAGTAGTCCAAAACACAGGTCATATATGACAGATGAAGCATCCTCTCATATTAGAAGCTGCAATGCGAATATGTGTTTTTGAAATAGTAGTGAAATGACTGATAGCTTATTTATGTGCAAGAGATAAAATTAAATGTAATGACACTTTAATGACACTTTAATGACACAGTGTTCTTGCCATGGCTTAACTGATCAATCAGTTTATTATTTTAGCTCTAATTAACACCTCATATTCGTTTAAGTGCTTCCTTTGAATCATAAACACCTCTGTCTGACAACACCTCTCTTCTTCTTCCTCAGGACCTGGAGATCGTCTATTCTTATCTCCATGGGATGGAGGCTTTGTCCAACCTGCGAGAGCACCAGCTAAGGTGAGTTTCTGCACACATCTCTGATACTTAATTTGCGTAACACAGCATGATATTCCCATGAAATTAATTCCAAATACAAATGATGAAGTAGTGACAACTCCTCAGTGTGTGCACCACAACAGTTGTAGTCAGGAGTGGGAGATTAACACCAAGCTGCCAGCTTTGTGAATGCTATCTGGTTTTCTAATCCAGCAGCCCCTCTGACTTCTTAACATGCGTTGGCTGGAATGATTTACTCTAAAAAGTCAACAAAACCTAAAAAATACATTTTTATGATTGGTGTGAAACATCTAAAATTTTGTTTTTAGGCAAAATAAATTTAGTTTCGTACTTGTTGGGCTTTTTCGTTTTAGTTGATTGATACTAACAGAGAAGTTTGCTGGAAACTTTGTGGGGAGCTCTTCAGAGGGTCCTCTGAGATATCAGAGAATTACTCATTTGATTGAGTCATCAAGGTATAAAACGATACCTGCCTTCAGACAGAGTGCTGTTAAGTTTAGAATCTCGATTGTTCCTGCCTCAGTATGCTTTCGACTAAATGCTAAAAAGTCTAATCACCATCTGACACCCCTGGAGACGGCTACATCCAACCTTTTTTGGTGCAACTGTCTGACCACATGGCCAAGTTGTGTTTTCTGCAAGAGCCCATGTGACGTAAGTTTCATCATCCGCCCTCGCCTGTGGCCAGCTCCACGCACCACAAAATTTAAGACTGTGTGGACTGTTAACACAGCAAGCATGCCAACTGTGCATGCTGTCCAGTCCACTGGATGGTCATTTTGAATCTTTCATGTTGTCCAGCCAAACACAACGAACAACGTGGCTTCTTCCTGCTGTCAGGAAGTTGCCATCACGATTGTAGTGCACATGCATGGAGCATGTTCCTTTAAACAGAAACATTATTCTGGTATTGATAGATGAGAATTTAAATCTGCAGCTGTCAGAGTACTCAGGCGTGGAAACTATGACTTGGCCTTTAGTCAGAGGTGTTAAAGTAGGCAGCCTCAAGATCTTGACACATCTTGCAGCTTGCTTCATTTGAGGCATGCTGAGACCTCAGCATAATTATGCTACCAAACACTTAATCAGAATTCAGAACTGCCCAGAAGGCTGTCTGTAAAGGTTCTCAGTCATCCAGGTCGTAGTACATCTAAGTGCTAAAATGAATCAAACTGCACTTAATTGAGTTTGTTGAAGGCCTTTCACCTCTCGTCTGAAAGCCTTCTGCAGCTCTAAGTGCCTGATAGGGAGTCTGAGGTAAAACAAAAGGTTGTTTAGTTCCTGAAATTGTCTGTTTGACTACTTGGACAAATCTACTGCCATTTGTGTAAAATGATTTAACATTCATATTTAACACACATTAAAACACCATCTTTATGCAGAGTTCCACTTAAGGCAACTGATCATTTTTTAGCATCTTTTACATTATTAGTCTTTTTTTAACTGTCTTCATTTAATCTTTTGTTTTGTGTTTCTTCCTGTAAAGTCAGATCAGACAGTTTCCATATGAAACTGTTTCCTCTGCTCTCCGTTGGAGCCAAGCCTTTTAACCTAAAGCCATGAGAACTCCCCGCTCGGCTTTTCATACATGATTTTGCCTTTCGCTCGTCTGTCACCACGTTAGTCCTCCAGTCTTTTCTGCCTGGCATCGACTTTCCAAACAGTGCATGTCAGAAGTCTGTTCCCAGCATGCCTTGTGTGCATACATGTGGATTATACTACCGAGGGAACAATGTAGCAGAGCATGACCTGCGAGCTAGAACATTCCACTGTGTGACCCCTCAGAGGCCTCCCACCCAACACTAACCCCTCTCCCTCCTCCCTGTTTGGATCCTGAGGAATGTCCCCGTGGTCCCACAGACCAACCCACTGCTCATGCCGATTTCAGTTTTTCTAACTTAAAAAAAGAAAAACTCCCAGCCGGCCAGACATCCCACTAACTATGGGATTATGTTATAGTTCTCTTTTCTCAACATTTTCATCTGGGAGGAATGTGTTGTTTTTCTTGTGTGGTTCTTTTTTTTTTTTTTTTTTTTTTTTCTTATTTGCTTCCTGTTTTTTGTTTTGATCTTTATCTCTCCGTGTG